GAACAATGTTATTTCAATTTAATAAATGATTTTGATGGTTTGGAAATTCATTACAAAGAAACAAAATTTAAGAACTTGCGTGTATTCATTCACTCGTTAAGAGTGTAGCATTTTAAACAAAAGCATTTACTCTCCGATTGTGCCTCTTTTTGGTCGAAATAAGTCTCTACTGTTTCAAAAACCTTAATGCATAGTAAACTTTTGAAGTTTCCAAATCAATGTAAGGAGTAATTTTTTAAAACTACCATTAGTTGTTGTTCTAATAAGCTTGTCACATACAAGCAAGTATAATAGTTTACTTCAATTTGTATTTGACTTCAAGTATTCTTGCAGCTGTATATCCGTTCCAATGTTACCCTATGCTACTAGAGGGTGTAAACACAGGGTAAAATTGGGGTGGGAAACCATAAGAAGATAATCTAATAAAGGTTGTGTAAACATAAATGCAAAGACCAATAAGACGTATGATATTTTATGACTTAAAACCAGTCATAAGTGTCACACAATAGATAATGTACTCCAGAAAATAATTTAAGATACAAAGAAATAATAGATTTGTCAAGAATGCGTTGCTTAACAAATTAATACATACTTTTTTCTTGTAGTACCACCAATCGTTGTATTTTAATAAGTCAGAGAAGAAGATTTAACGTTAGTTTATTTGTTTCCAGTAAACAGAGTGACAAGGAACAAGTTGTAGTGAGACGGCCCTCAGGAGAACAATCGGGGTAAAACTAAACATTCTCCTCGACATTTGTCGTGAAGATAAAATGTTGAGTCACATTTACACCTCTGAAGCATACCATGTTTTCCATTCAAAGGGCTGTAAACTTTAATAGCCTAACTTACTACAAAGACTTACTATTCTAGATGATAAATACTCTTTTGCCAACGTTATCCTTCGTCATCTGAATGGGGCGTTAAGTTTGCAACAACTAGGTATTCTACCTCTAGAATTGTAGTTGTTAAGTAGTGTAGAAGGGAACATATAATTTTTCGGAATCGAAGTGCTTTGTACGGAACTCTCAATCTTTTTTCATACGAGAAAAAGGAACTTACAAGTTTAACTCAGCAACTGTCATCAAGGAAGCAATATTAAATATTTAGGTTTCATTTGATTCGTGAGCAAGGTTATAAGTAAGGTATGCATATAACAATAAAATGAAAGTCTATATAAAGCCAAAAGTATCCATGAACTTTTTAGAAAACTACAAGTCACACTCCCATAAACCATATACTTAAAATGTTCGCCATGACGAGAACTTTGCGCAAAACTATACATTATTTCATAAATCGCCCTTCAAGGTCGTAATTGCTTTCCAAAGAGAAACCTTCCTTATACGTAATGTTAAAAAACCTCAGCTGTCCTTATTTGTATGTTATTGTTTAAATTTATTTCCTTATTAAAATCAGGTGTGATTATTTGTTTGTATTTATTCTGTTTTGTTTATTTCAGCTTAACTTAACCAATCAACAACTAGTAAACTTTATTTCTCAAAGTTTTTCTACGGAAATATTTTAATAATTCACTATTGTATGTAATGGTAATAGTAATTATTGATCCCAACTTCTCATAAAATCATTGCTAAAAATATAATTCGAATCATTATTATTCTGTGCTATTCATTAATTCATTTATTAATTTAGTAATTTTGGCTATTTATTAATTCCCAAGATCATTACAAACACAAGTTGTAATTCGAATCTGATTTGTTATACTCGTCCTATAAGAGGCTTTCTACAATTTAAATTTAATTTTAATGTAAGAGTTTACTTATATCACATAGGGAAATCTAGATGCAATCGCAATCTAAAAAATATACAAGACATTGGGACTCTTTATCTGCCATATAAACTTTAGTCGGTTATTTATATGAACGATGACATACATGAAAATCTCCATAGACCAACATAGCTTAAATTTAAAATCATTAATTTTTTTGCCAATATAAAAAAATACGCTAGAAGTGTACTAGACATAATTGGCTCTAAAAGTATACCACCGTCATTATCGATGATTGCACTTGATGTCATTCAACACTCAATTAATGCAATGACAAAGTGACATGGCATAAATTAGTGGTTTATCAATTTTCTCATTTTGGAGATGGTTAGAAATACAATTTGTGCAACTTTGCTGGTAAAATATATTAAGTAAAGTAAGATTTCCTTTTTTTACTTGAAGCTACATTGCATTTTTTATTTTTGAAGATGTTAGGGCCACGAATCTCCAGCTCTATATACATCTATGTATCTCATGTTCATCCATGGATCTATGTTTGCTCTATATAGGCCTACATAGGTTTTTAAAGAAATTACTTTTACTTTATGACATAAAAATGTTTTTAAAATTTTAAATTCCCATATTTCATATAGGTTAATATCCATTTTGAGGACAGTTGAGTAGCGCCGAGGCAAGCCATTAGTACCAAGATAATTGCCTGTATGTTAAACAAAGCTAGCAAAGTGACATAGACGTCACTCCCAGGTCTACACACAAACATCTTTCATTTAATTTATATAACAAAAGTTTCTCACATATCATATTTTAATTTATCCATACTACTTTAAATTTATGAAGTCAGTGCATTCCATGAGTTCAACGACAGGAGACATGGACTTAAATAGCGAGCGTAAATCGAACGCAGCACAATGCAAGATAAAAGGTCTGTCACTACCAGAATGTTCTGTTGGGCATACACTGTTTGTTTATACAAACTGGCCGACCAATTACGATTCATTTGGTTCAATAATCGACTTCTTTCCTTGCGTGGCAATGACATTTCCTAGTGCTACCATTTCGTTTGACCGAGAAAGATTTATAAATTTGCAATGAATGGCATTTTTAAAATTTTGTTTGAACGGTGCAAAGCCTGGTCTTGTAACTAACTAACGTTGCCTTTTTGTTGGACAGGGCCATTAATTTATAAGATAGCGCTAGTAATTACAAAGACATCCTGTTTTTGTTTTTTAAGTGGTATTGCTTGGAATAATTCCGATAAAAACTCAAATGTATTGGGGGGGGGGGGGGGGGGGGTTGTCGGTGGTTCAGTCGGTAGCGTCACCGACTTCGGGCTTTATCAGTACAGTTCACGTACGTACTGTACTGGCTCACCCCTTTGCTAGATACGTCCCAGGCACAGGTCCATAGCCTATGTTGTCGGGCAAATGCAAGGTTAAAAGATACTACCAACTTTTTCTAGAAAACTCCGTTGTTTGTGTTGTTATTTAATAAAATGCCAATCAAAGATGTTAAGACAGGGTATTGTTAATTCTAGGACGGTTTATTATAGCAGTTGTAAATGTGTAGCCTGCTTATTTAGGTATTTGTCGTGTTTCAAGGGTGTTAATGTGGCGTGAAATTATATCTCCACGACAAATGAGAGGAGAATATCTCGTTTTGCTCAGACTACTCTCCAGAGGACACCACAACTTGTTCCGTGTCACTCTGTTTACTGAAGGCAAATAAATTTGCATTAAATTTCCTAATATAGCTTTTAAAAATACAACTCCTATTACCAAGACAATTTATTTTAGGACAGTAAGTAATAACTATGACATGTCCTATCAAAGAAATATTTTTTTTAATTTTCCCCATTACGTATTAGTCCGACACGTTCAGAGCGCACCGTGTCAGATCTTACTGAACAAGAACACGAATGAAGAATGTCCAGATATAAATTTCGAGATCATACAAATATAAAGATTATGAGCCCGTAGTTGGAAGATACAATTAACTGACATAAATTACAAGTATCTACGTTTCGTAGGGTCAGTCATATCACGGAAATGTGTAACATTTGTGGTAGACTTATACTACTAGATAATTGATTAAATGTAGAAATAACAAGATAGAGAAACCGTAGACCGAGCTAAGGGAGACATTAGTTGGGTCGGTTTGGTATTAGTACAATAATATGTGTAATTTAAGTCTTAAGATAGCTTGGAAAGTTATTCCGAAAGCCTAATTGATGAAATGACGACCGCCCTAGTTTATAATGTCACTCGTGAAACAATGCGATAGGGGATCTTTTCAAGTAATAAGATTTCCTTGACGGCAAGACACAAAAGCGTCGACAACTCGCTTAAGAAAAGGACACTTTTCATGAAAATGGGTAACCTGAACAGTGAACACTCATAGGTCACCTTATAGCTTCAATAAGTAATGTCATTAGCAAATTGAGTGTAAATCAATAATGTCTACTTCACTCTGTCACTTGTCCTCCAGACTTTTGTCATGCAATATTGTATTTTGTTATAACGATTGTCCCTATAAATAATCGCAACTTATTAATCTAGATTATTTAGATGTTTATTTATGTGTTCCATTGAGTAACATTATGCACTGGTTTTTACCACGAACAGCTACTAAATGCATTAAAAATCTATAAAGTGTTAATCTAAAGGCATATACAATGAACAGGTCATAAATTAACATTTGTATTTATGATTTCATCAACTTGATGGCGCAACTAGGTAAAAATAGTTTTGTTGTGTGTTTTACTAAGCTATTGGATTTGTATGATATTATTCTTAGATGGTCCAACCTAACCTTGTTATCCGACGACGACCTTTTGTTATTTATTGTAACTTAAATGAAAACATACTGTAACAAAAACTGCCAGTTATTCTCTCACCAAGCTAAGAGAGTGGGGGTTTTTAAGTAAGGACTGGGTTGCCATTTAAATCCGTAGTACAGAGCTGCAGTTTGTGTCATTTTGCTCACAAATGATGCCAGTAAGCAGTGAGGAGTGAACCACAGGGTTATATACAAAAGCGCCCTTACTTAAATAACCACCCTTGTATAAAATCTCTAGGATAGAACTAAAACTTATATACCTTTCTGAAAAACTGTAAATTAAATTATAAGTCACTATTCTAACTAAATAAGATCACAAATTAAACGCAATTAAGTCACCATTAAAATATCAAAATGGTCCGTGCAATAGAATTACGCGTCAATGTGAAAGTTTGATACTAAAAACCAACTTGTGTTACAGAAGATGTCTGTGGGTCATCCTCCCCATCTGCGTCATCATCATCATCACTGGCTGTCAGAGAACATCTCCCTCATGCATAACACTTCAACCTCCACCACAGACGCTTACACCTACTCGTTCACTGACTCGGCTCTCTTGTGGAACGACTCATATAACCTCACTGAGTCGACTCCCGTAGTGAACGGATCACGGTCTGGGGTGGACCCGGTGGTGTTCATCTACGCGTCTTCCTTCCTCATCGTCTTCTGTACAGTTTCTCTTGCTGTTAACGTCGTCATTCTGAGCTCAGTCTGTTTCATGAGATCCAGGTAAAGACACACAAAGAATAATGATTTTGTCACACTACACATGAGACTGAATTTAAAAGCTTTACATTCTTGGCAAATATTGTTCTTTAAAACCACTAGCTTAGTTTGAGAAGTATTCGTAAGAAATACTTAAATGGCAAATTTTGATGATTTAGTTCATAGGTTATTGAACACGTATGTTAAAATCTATTACACCTTTTTACGGAAAGAAAAACATCGTGAAACAAAAAAATTCATATACATACGTGGTGCAAAGACTATCTATATGGACTTTAAGAAAAAAAGTTCCACTATCAAGGGTTTATTTTGTATTCGTGCAAATCAAGTCAAAGGCATTAAGAATTTTTTAAATCGTAGTATTTTCTAATCCAGTACTAATTTCCAACAGGGCTGATGAAAACTAATCGAACACAAAACCACAGGCTTAAAAAATTAAAAACTCCTTGATGATTAAAAACCTTTAGCCTCACCTTATCATGATAAGCAATATGTATCTGTCATCAGTGTTTTAAATATTCACAGCTAAACAAAAAATATGACAAGGTCAAACTAAAAATCTGAAAAAAATGTAACAAAAACAAGTCCAACTTGGGAATTTCTAAAAGCTCACTGCTTTAACTGAGAAGATATACACATAGTTCCTAGAACAGTTTTCTTTCCAGGATCTACCCAACTCTCTACATCAGCCTGAGTCTCGCCGGCGCAGATACCTTCTCCTTGTTCTTCTACGCGCTGGGGCTACTGTTCTTCACACTGCTGCCGCGCCTAGGCGTGCGGTTCGACACACCCTGTGCCATGCTGATGCTAGAGGCGCTGCGGATGGGCGCTATCATGACCACCCTGTTCCACCTGGCTGCTCTAGCAGGCAACCACTACCTGGGCATCCTCCTCCCTCTGCACTACCCTGTCTACATGGCTCGCAGGAACATACAGTACTGCATCATAGTTCTGTGGACCATCCCGTCCTCTCTACTGGTGCTCGACATGTTCTTCCTAGAAGGAGATGGCTTCAAGATGTGCCCTTATCAGTGAGTCTTCTTTTATTTTAGACTAACTGAGGCTATTGCCTTGGACTTTGGAGTAAAAAGTTAGGACATGACAATCTCTAGAGTATCCACAAGAATGAGAGGGAGATTTTGGACAATTTTCCTTAAAAGCTCCTTTCCATACAAACTTCTCGGTAACGTAACTATCAACAAATATAAGTACTATAACCTTTACATAATTGGTACAAATACTGATTTTCATGAGTAAATCCTAACAATTTTAACAGTAATTCCTTGTACTATATTTCTAAACTGTGAATCTGTGGGTTGTAGATATCTACCCAAGGCTTACAGTCATAGCATTGACGATATCTAAACAATCCTACCTAAACAATAGATCTTGGTGAAATTGAATAAAACCGTGTGTCATAAAGGAATTTTTTTATTTTTTCCAACTTGTGTTTCGTAGCTTTTTGAAGAGGTCTAAGTTCCGAACGCGGTTCTCCATCCCTTTCTTCACAACGCTGGGTATGATGATCTTCATATACCTCCACATCTACAAGCTGGTCTGTAAACACCAGAAACAGCCTCTGAATGGCAAATACCAAGGACGCAGATGCTACACGAGGAGGTCCGGAGGCTTCTCCAGCAGCCAGGTGAACTCTTGAGATTATTTTCTTAACTTTTCTTCCACTTTTCCAAAGAATAAAATCATATTGTTGTCTTATTTTAATAAGTAATAATATATTTATAAAATAAACTGACTTGTAGAAAATGTTTCGTAAATTGTAATTTCTACCAATCTGCGTCCATTAACAACTTTACACACCATTAAAAACTACTTTACCTACGAGGTAATAGGTACTTCCAGCAGCATTTTACCATAAGTACTGTTTTAGTTATAAAAAAAAAAAATATTACATATCTTTTAGAGATACTATACATATTGAAACAGTTTATTTACAACATCTGATCTAAAACAAACAAAACAAAATTAAAGTAATTTTAAAATTATTATTGTTATTAGTGCAAGAAATAATCAATAGAAAGTTGAGTTAAGGGAAGAACGTGTTAGTGTCCAGCGGTCGACAGATCAACAATTGAATCGGTCGTCACCAGCTGATAGGTTGGTGTTCGCAGCATTACAAATTTACTGTTTTCTTTCAATCCTTGAACCCAATTGGTCCGTTACTTAACCTTTAGTGCTGTAAAGCAAGTAAACAATGCGGTTAAGTTAAACTAAAAAAAAATTAAACCTAGTTAAAAAAACAGGCATCGCTAAATTAAATTTATTTATTTCCCATAACACTGAAACGTTAATAATGCCAAAAATTAATCCTATTAATAAAGTAGTTTTAAGTAAAAAATATCATTGAAACCGTGCTATAAAAAGTAATGTAATTTTTAACTAAAAAGTGTATTAAAAGAGGTTTTATACTGTTTATTATGCATGAAAACTCACTTTAAGGTTTTAAGAAGTCTTAATCAACGTCACTTGGGGACAACTTGTATAATTTAAACAACACGCTCGGTGGTTGAATCACTTAGCATACTGCAGCGAATTCAATTCTCACTCATGCAATGTTTCTTTTGAAATAACGCTCAATTTTCTATACCAGTAATTATAATTTACACCCTAATAACCTAATAAAAACACAAAAAGAGCAACACATTAATTTGGTAGTATAAAATAATAAAATCATAACACACCTTCATAAAATGTTACTTAAGGTAGTATTACAGCCTGACTTCAACCAGGTTGTAACAGATGAAAAAGGAGGGATATTTTGGTGTTTTATACTTTGTAAGAGGGGACATATCCCTTAGGATGCAATATCCAGGGAAAGTTTACATACTACTAATTAATTGTGCACTCTTGTATGGTTCACCGTGTTAACAATGTATAAATCTGAATAAATAAACAGTACCAGCAAACTAACACTTACTTTCTCCCATTAGCTTGTTTACAACCCTCTTGGGTAAGCTGTGGCAGTAACTATGATATTAGGGAAAATCATAAAAATTGCAATAGATTTTGAACCGCATTTCTTACAGCGTAGGGTGGTGTACCTTTTTGTTAAGAGTTAAAAAGACAACAAGATTATACATAAAAAAATCGTTTGAGAAAACTATACAAACAACCAATTAATTTTGTTTTTTTCTTGTTTATAGACATATTTCTATGTATTTAAGCTACTCTGATCACAAAATAACTTCCTCCCAACAACATTTAATTGTATTGTATCGGGCTATATAAATATGTTATTGCATTTTTCAATCGTATTGTTTCGCACTGAGTCGTATAGTATTGTACTAAAATGTATATTATAATGGAGCCATATACTTTATTGTATTGTTTCGAATAATATGATTCGGGGAGTATCTATCAAACATACCGATGCTTCAGAATATAATACCATTGAATAAACTGACTGTGGCCATAAATATACAATGGTCGTTTTTTTCTTCTGCAGTAAACAGTTTTTCAACACTCATCATGATACACCATTGTTATGTTTAGTTTTTTATCCTCATTGGCTACATTTTATCAACTCTCTGACAGAATAAAATGATAAAAATCATTGTGCTATTGTCTGAAGACATTTTTTATTAAGGTTGACTTCCAAAAACTTCACCACGAAAAATACGTCCATTGAGCACCCTAGGAGATTATAAGGGAAGTAATAAGCCCATATTATTGCTGCGTGGAACATTTTAATGTTGGTTGATATTTTAAGACTAATACTGAATCCAGGTGAACGAGAAGGCTATTATAACCACTCTGATGATCCTGGGCTCAACCATCTTCGGCTGGGCACCAGCATTCACGTACTACGCCCTGTTCTGCGAGGACTGTCTGTTCGCGGACTACTGGAACTTGCAAACACCGGAAGAACTGGCGGTGCTGCTGGTCGTCAACTTCCTCATGATCTGCAAAACCGCCACCAACAGCTACATATACGCCTTCCGCATGAAGGAGATCAAGGTGGGAAAATAGTTTTACTCTAAATAGAACAAACTTGATGTATTTGGCATGAGAAATAATGAAGATAAGTGTACAATCGGTGAAAATAAAAATTGGTATGTTAAAAGCTTAAAAAATAAATCAGAGCTCAGGGAAAATATCCAAAATAAACAGGAAGAATGTGCAATCAAAGTTGAGTAGGAATTGCCAAGGCTGGTTGAGGATCATTACATGCTACAATTATTTGCGTTTTAAGCATAGCGCTAAATCTTATACATGCATGTACAGGAAACGACAAAAAGCAAAATGCAGAGTGTATGGGGGAAACAAATTTAAATACAAATAGGAACAATGTAGTCAAAAGACCGACTGAGGATTACTGAAATACGTCCCCTAAAATCCCCAGCCATATTATAAAATAAATTTGTAATGGAAAAATAAAACCATGACGATATATATTCTGGGTAACGATACTTTATCTTTGGTATTTACTATTGCATTGGCAATAGTATTTTACTTAGTAATTGTGCATTGTTTTTACCCACTTTTACTGTTTTGATTGCAGATAGCACTGCGCCGGATGAGACGCAGACTGCTAATGTGTCTCTTCACCAACCAAATAGACTACGACCAGTCCGACTGGACGGCCGGAGGGCTGACCAGGACCACGAGTCGTCAGTCCACCTCCAGGAGTCGCACCTTCGTCTACAGGATGAACTCTCTACAGGACTCTCATGTGAACAACGGTGTGGCCAAACTATCTCCCGTTGACCCGTCCATGAGACGCTGTCGGTCCGCGAACTTTACCAGAAACAAGAGATGCAACACTTCAGTGTAGCACTATATATGTATGTAAATACATGGGTTAGGTATTTGTGATATGAAAAGCATGTAGGAGAAGAAAAGGAGGAAGGTTGTGAATTAAGTAAAGAAAGAAATGGGAAGGATTAACAGAAGTTGGGAATAAGATGTATTGAGGAAATGGTGAGCAAGTAGGGCGGAATGGGAGGAGAGGGAATAAGACAAGGTGCGACACTCAAGGTCAACCTGTTGAATAATGACGTCATGGAAGGCCATTAAGTCTAGCGATAAGTTCGAGAGAGGTAAAGTAAAGCACCCTGTCACCGGGGTACTTTGTCAGATATTGGTATTGATTGACGGAGGAGGAGATCAACAGCAGTACCTACACGAATACCATTTATAAATTAACGGTTGATAAGGGGAGAATAAAGAAATAGATAAGGTAGGATGGGAGGTAGAAGATAAGGAAGATAAAATTTATGAAATGATTAAAGGCTTTTAGATAGATGATGAAGAAGAAGGGTAGAAGGAGTTGGAAAATTAACGACGACGAGGAAGAAGAATTAAATAGCAATATCAAACAAATGGAAACGATCGTATGAAACGAAGGCAAGTGACACAGTACCGTTGCTTAAACTACTGGTTATTTAACATTAAAAAAGAAAATTGATAAGCACCCAGTGAGCATTCATTATATTTTGCTATCCTTCTCACCCTTATCAATGATGATCAATAAAACATTTAAAAAATGTGGTAACAACGCTGGGATATTTTAAAGTACATAACAAATGTTGAACGTGCGTGTACTTATATGTACATATTATATACATATCTGTACATATATGTTTGATGTACTTTTACGTTTTACATAATATAAAAATATAAAGCATATTAAAGTTATTTTAATACCTTCACATTAACTTATTTAAAAACTGGAATAATATAATTTTAATATTTGTAACAACGTATTTGAAGCAGACAAGCTTTTGCGTGTTACTAAGATTATTTTAAGCTGTAAATAAATAATCTTGATTCACATAAAATCATAGTTTTCTAGTTTAAGGTATTTTTTTTTCTAAAACATTACCAATAAATTTGTATTTTTTTCTAGAACGTTACCAATAAATTTATTTTATTCTATACTATTAACATTTTATAAAAAACATTTTCTTCTCCCCGTATCAGCAAACCCAAGTACTATTCGAATTTAATGTTATTTAAATGTTGCACCGTATATGACTTGTTTATAGAAATATTTTAGTTTAAATGAAATCAGATAAATTTAAATTCGCCTTTTCTACAGATTTGCTGAGGTAACTATCCAACATATTCATTTAGGTTTTAATTATTCTTACTCTGACGATGTATCCTTTGAGATCATTCCACAGTAACCATTGCCGTTTGAATTTAAGAGATACTTGTACATTTTCACCTCCAACGATAAATTCTTACACTATAATTATTGATAACGGGTGTGTAAAGTTTTATAAATAGTTAATTATAATTCCGCATGTGTTGCCATTGAAGATAAAATTTCGACTGTTAAGCAGGGTTGAAAGTAAGATCCATACGATCACTGATACAAGAGTATAGATTAACCTAATATTTTCGAACAAAGTGTGAGAGATTGGGGTGCAATTGTCGGGCTTACTAAAGGTTGTATTTTTCTATATGTTTTTGATGGTTCTATGAGAAATTAAACTAGGTATTAAGTACTGTATTAGTATTTATCAAATTGTTGTAGAAATATATATATTTATTACAATACGTATTTTATTAAAGCCGCAATACCCCTAAACTTCGGAACATGATTTACGAAACACCTTTAATACGTTATTATTACTAACAGTGCCATGGTATTATTATTTGTTTATACTAAGTGAAAACCCATAATATCCACCTTTTCGTAATAAAATATGACAAAGCCTTACTGTAAAAATATTCAATATTTTTTTGTTTATGAAATTGTTAAGGTATTTTGTCAACCAAAATAGAGAGTATTATACATTCTAATGCAGAACTTAAATATAAACGGTCAAAACTTTTTATTTATTAAGAAATAATCCATAGGAAAGTCTTGTAATCGAATCAGACTAATGGCTTACACTAATATCTCCACTAACTTAGCCATATCTCCAAGGTTGACATTATCTGTAGATTACATAAACAAGGTCAACTGGCCTTAAGGGATACGCAGTTGATTAATTACAATCTTAGTTGGTTTACTGCTGTTATTATGTGATGATTGTTATTATAAATGGAATTTCCACTGAAACTTAAATAATAAAAGCCAAAATTAGCTGAAAATACGCGAGTTTCCTTTACTGCTTTTAAAATCGAAATAAACTGCACCGAGCCATGGCTCGGTCCCCAGGTACTACTAGATTAAATATTAACACAAGTAATTAGATTTAATTATGCTGTACCGTTTAAAAACATTCCTCACAACATTAAAATATTTCTAAGTAAACGGATCAACTTGCATTTTCAATTATAGCCATGAATGAGTAACGTTTAAAATGTACACTATTAATCACGACAAAAATATAGTATTGTAAGTTACCTTTTAGAAGAATCGCGACTAAAAATATTATTCTGAAAAGTGTTTTTCTTATATTTAAAGTAAAATATTCAACATTATCGGCATACAGTATTGTGATTGCTGTTAAAGAAACAAGCCGAAAGAAGAACAAAGTGTTCTCTTAGAATCGTTTGCCAGTGTGAAAGATGGTTTAGAGTCTGAGGCTAAGCTAAATGAACTAGCATTGAGAATTGTTTGAGTATATTTTTGTAGTATGTTTATTGTACGTGAATACTTCTGGGAGTTCAAATCTGTGTGATGAGATTGGGGTCTTATGCGAAGCTCAATTTGGGTTTGATGTATAAAGTTCAGAGTATCATCAACATATAGTTTTGTCAAGCATTCATATTTTTTGCCAATTCATACAGGTATTCGTTTTTGGGTTGTTCATAGCTTATGAACTCATACTTTACCTTATTATCAGATTTCAAGAACTTTTCATCAAAGAGTACGTGGTTCCATTTGAAGACAATTTTAAAATAATTACAAATGCCAGTTAAGCGTTATGCCAGAGTACACTCTCTTTCAATTTGAATAATAATACTTAATACTTTAATACTTTTCATTGAAATGGCGACCATACAAAGTAGGTATTTTAAGCCAAGTATGAATGGAGATGAGTGTAGAATGAGAGGAACGATCTTGTAGTCTTGTTAACGACTAAGGCCGACATATTCCTTAGACACAGCTGTTGATTAATAGCCTATACAGGGAATGGCAACTAAGGGACCTACAGTTTATAGTAGAATCCGAACCACATTTTTGCCTTGGTAATTATTGAAGTGCATTCCTATAAATATCCACAATTCGTGACCTCCTGGTAGCTGGATTACAGGACGACGGCACCCTCCCAGTCACTATATATTTATACTAGCCGTTGTACCCGTGCTTTGCAACGGGAAGAGGACACAAAATAGAAACATTTTTATCTTTACATCTGTTGCATATAATATAGTTACACATCCACCAACGCTTTTAGAATCAAAATTCAACTTTTATGGCCTTAATAGAAACGTTTAAGTTATGACTTTTAAATCTGGTAAGTAGTGGATACCACAATTTTGGGTTTGATTAATTTTATTAGCGAATTTCCCTATAGGGAAGTAGCTATTACCGTAGGTGGCACGGTAAGACCTAGACTCGGGACCGATTTACTTTTTCATTTTGATGTCCCCAGAGGCCAAAAACACCATTCGTTCAAATTTTTATATATGTATATATATAGACTTATATATTCTTGAGGAGATCTTGATAGATTTTATGATTAATGAAACATGAAACATTGCAAATTTTCGTTTAATACAAACGTTTTCAATCAAAGAGAATGAAAAATGTAAAGATGAACAAAACAAATAAATATGAACTGTTTACAAATAGTTGAATTTTGAGAACATATAGACTTATATACTGTATATACTATATACATATACGTCCGTGAACGCGATAACTTGAGTAATTTTTTCCGATTTTGATGAAATTTGGTTTAAAGATGTAAAGCGGGATAAACTTGAATGAGTTCGCGAACCAGCATGATCGGGCCATGGGAACGGGGCTTTACGGGGGTTTTTATGGGGTAAAAATTGGTTTTTCTCACTTTTGACCCTCAAAACACAAAATTTCCCAATTTATCTTTAGACCCTTTAAAAGAGCTTAAAAAAAAAACAAATAATTTAGTATATAAAAGTATTTTTGTTCGGTTATTAACAACGGAGAAAATTTAAAAAATTGTAAATTTGAAATTCCCATGTTATTCTTATGGAGAATATTGTCAAATGTTGTAGTTTGCTTGTTTATGGATATATTTTGATCAAACTTGGCAAATTTATTTATTTTGTACTATCAATATTTTACTAAAAAACACACATTATTAGTTTCTTGTAGCAGCAAACCTAGGTACTCGTTAAACCTAATGTTATTAAAATATATTTAATTAAAAATCAATTCAGACAAATGGAAATTCGCTTAGCCGACAGGTTTGCTGCGGCGGGGGTATTTTAAATCTTGTGTAGGCTGATATGAGAAGAAAAACTGACCAAATCTTCGAATAAAACTTTAAACAAACATTATTTACCTTCATCTCCCTTAGTTGCATATCTTTTTTCTTTGTTTTTGACATTTTAAATTTCAATTTTGAAGTTGCAAAAATACAAATTTTTTAATTTAAATGGACATTTTTTAATTTCACTCTTCTTCATATTAAATCACAAATCTTTCCATATTCAGTTTCTTCACTCACAATAAAATCATTAGCAAAACTAAGTCAGCTGTTATAATCTTTAGAAATATTGTTGTGCCTTATCAATAGTCTTTTGAAATATTAAAGAGACTATATCTGTACTATAAAAAATGTTAAACAAATAATTTAGCATTAACGACAGCAGACAAAACTAATATGTTTATCAAAGCATCAAGGACCAAGGACAAAAAAATGTAATAGCAAATACAGTGTATGCTTCGTTGCATCTCTGATTCTACTCTACAAAAATATCAACAAACAACTTAATATCATACCAGTTCTTTTAATCAGTTCCATCGGCTATTGCCTTTATATTTTCACACTTACCATTAAGTAAACATAGTAACAGATATTTCATTGATTTTTAAAACAAAAGAACACTGTGTACTGCTTAGTTTTTTTTTATATTTTCCTTGGTTTCATTTAATCAGTGATGTGACAAAACACAAATAATAAATTTATCAAATAAAGTAAATGTGAACTGAAAGTTATGTTAAGAAAAAATAAGAGTATTTAAATCAACGATATACAATTTAGTTATTGATAATATTCTTTAGTTTAATTTAAGCATAGGTTTAGCAAAACACAATAACTAAATTTACCTAAATATACATATAAAAAAACAATGTGATGTGAAAGTTATGTTAAGTTAATCTAACACATGTTAAGCAGTTCTAATTTATTTAAAGTAGACTCCAAATTCATATAAAACATACATTGTAATTTTCTTA